AATCTGGTCTTCCTCAGAATTAATTTTCTTGCAATGTTTTGCACACAAACGCAGCAGGCAGTAACTCACTGCTGACCTGGGCAGTAGCTGAGGAAGAGGCTGATCATGTTGAATTCTGCTGCTGCTGGCATAGGCCTATTTATGCAAAGCTGGATGAACATCCAGCTTTCTTATGACATTGAATCACACAAGAAAAATCACCATTTTTACATGAAATAGCAAGAAAAAATGGCATATGCTAAAATGACAGGTCAGCCACCTTAACACTGGAGAAGAAGGGCTTTCCTAAACAGAGCCTGGTATGGGGTTGCTGGCCACAGCAACCTTTGGGTGCATCCTGCACCCCTGCAGCAGGGTGTGCAAAGAGGTAGAGTTTCACTACGTGCGCAGCCCCCAGCACTTCTGCCTCCTGCAAAGGGCTTGGCTCATTACACCCTCTCTTAAGCATAACTGGGCTCTGGAATAGGTTTATTCACTAGCCTGATCCTTTTTAATTTTGGGTTTTGTCTTTTGGAATCTGAATACTTTAATAAGGATTCGGCAGCTGCTGGTCCAGCTTTGCCTGTGCAGAATTCAGGGCTGACAGCTCTGGGCACTGGCCCTTTACAAGTAGGCAACTTCCTTCCTCGCTGTTCCAGTTCCCTCCAGGTTGCACACTTTTTCACACCTTACAACAAATTGTGTTTTCTCTCTGAAACAGGAAACGCAGGAGATTATCTTTTTTTCTTTCTTTCCCTGACAAGTAATAGCAACTGTAATACAGATAGAAATAATAGAATGTTGAGAAACAGAAGGATCTGGGAAGGGGGGAGGCAAGTGTCTATAGAAGCAGACGGAGTTGTGGGGGAAAACCCCTGGACGTATCAAATAAATAGAGCAGAAATCTTTCTTGCTTGGCCTTTGTGGTGTTATTATTAGAACAACCACGCCTGAGTGCACTAAAGCCACACAACCTTCAAGCATCCACATCCAGCTCTGCTATGGCAGGATCCTTTTTCTGCTTGGCTAAAAGAGGGAGAGAATGAGAAGATGTGAAGATGAGAATGATTTGTAAATGATAAATATTATCAACTTCGATAAAACAAGTATTTGGAAATCTTCAAAAAATCTTCTCATGAGAAGAGCCATTAGTGTATGTCTGTTTGACATTGGTTGTTAGAAAACCAGCTAATGTTAATGGATCCACAGAATGGAATGGAGAATCCATTTAAATGGTCTCTTGTCGTTTTGTCATCTCACAAGACAAAAAACACCCAATTACTTTAATTCAAGAATGAAATGAAGTGATAGTTTATATGATTCACTTGTATAGTCTGAATTGATCAAAGCACACACTAAAAATGTGTTAACAGTCTATATGTGATACCTGAAATGTAGCACTTCCTATCTCTATGTTGGCTTCTTTTCTCATTCAGTCTGATGTCCAGCTGTTAATCGTTTAAAGACTGTGGCTTTACAGTTTCTATATTGCTTTATTTATTATGCATGTTACAATGATGCTGAGGGGGTACAGCCACATGCAGGCTCGGCATTGTAAAAACAGCCTGCAGTGTAAAACACTCAGTAAAGGAAGTGCTGGCTGAAAGAGATACCTTATCCTCATTTCACAGAACAGAGATATAAGGAGTCTTAATATTTAACACCAGCTCCTAGCAGAAGCATATGGTGAAGCTTCGACTGCACACTTCTTCTAGATTTCAGCCCAGTGATCTTTGTCTGCTGAATTACCCTGCCACATGGTTGGCTTTTTTCTTTTAATGGAAGTCAGAGATTCAGTCCTGTGAAGAAAATTACATATTCGGTAGTCCCTAAAGCTCACAGCCCACTCCTGTGGTTGCATCCTCTGGCTTCAGCTCCCAGCAACGGTGCCCAGTTCCCAGGGGCAATCAGTGAGGGCCAGGCAAAATGTCATTGCAGAAGAATAGGCAATGTGCAAAGGACAGGGAAGGACATGCAAAGGAAAATGTGCAAGAAATGAAATGGAAGCAGGTCCTACTTTTGGCAGGCTTTTACTCGCTGTTAACTTTTTCCCTCTTTCCTCTTTACAGGAGCTTTTTTCAGAGCTTTTGTGCTCTGAGGTTGGGATGCTGTTCCTCAAACATCCAGACTAATTGCATTCATTGCGAGTTTATATTTACTTATCCTTGGGCCAGCATTGTCCTCTACCCTACCCAGTGCTGCTCCCTCCCTCTGAGCTTCTTTCCTACTGCAGGCTGAGAACATTCATCCCCTTGTGGCTTTTTTTGCCAGCACTTTTAGTTTCTATTCTGGACCTTTTAGAAAATCCACTCCAGCTTGGGAGTATTTTAAAGGATTGGTCAGTTCAGTGAGTATTGAGCAATATTTCTGCTTTCTTGGTGTCACGAGGGTACCATCATACATTCCCTGTTACCATGAATCAGAGATTCTGCAGGAAAAGGTGAGAAGACATGGATGAGTGCTGACTGGGGCCATAGCACAGGGTACTTTAAGCTTCTTAATGCTCTACCATTTCAAGATAAGCAACGTATTTGTGGTTTTTCCCTGGGACAGCACTGTGCACAGCTCTGCCAGGTCTGCTGGCTAAGGGAGACTTGCTGGGTGGCTAAGAGGTCATCCTATTTTATCTGTCAACAGCAATGTGTGTCTACAATAGCAGGTGTATAGCAGAGCTTGCATGAACTTGGTTTCATTTTTAAGTTTCACATCAAGTATATTAACCCAACTCCTACTCTTATTTGTAAAATACTGTTGCCAAGGCCAAAAGAGCTTTCTACAAGCTAATTTTGGCAGCAAAATCTATTCTAGCCTGGTGAAACGTCTGAAAATTTCGTAAGTAGGAAAAACTTTCCACTTACTAACTGATATTCATCACAGACAACTACTAGCGCTTCAGTCTAGACAGATTTTTCTGGGAGTAAGAAGGAACTGCTTGTGCTTGCCTTTTTATTAGCCTCCAGGGTACAATTTATGATCATGAATATCATATGCCCTAGGCAATACAAAGAATGGGTGGGGTATCATTACTATTGCCTACAAATCTTTGTCCTGAGCCGAGATTCCCAAGGAGGAAGTGTGGCTCAGAACAGAATCAGGGCAAGTTGCTTTGTGTCTCAGTACCTTGTATGTAAAACAGATATAGTGCTTCACTACCTTCAACAGGTAAGGGATATATCAAACCAGCAGTGAGGTATTTCCCTTCTGCAGTGGTTACAGACAGACAAGTCATCAAAAGCTCTGCCTGCAATTTGGCAACATTACGTTTTTGCAATGTCAAAAATTTAATTAGTAAATTCTCATGATGAACAAGCACTGACAGGTTGCCATAATTCATCCTATTACCTTCCTCTGCTATAATTTTTTTCTCCCCCCGGTGCCATTCCTTGCACTCAGACCATGCCAGTTGCATGGAGCAGCACTACAAATGTGCTGAAAAATGTCTGAAACCCCACCTGCAAAAATCCACTGAGAAGCAAAGCAAGGATCCCTACTGGACAGAGAATTTTGGGTCCCTTAATTTTTGCTGAAGCTCTGAGAACCTGAACTTCAGCAGGTCTGTTGATGATATCACACCATCACTTCCATTATGACACCTACAAATCTTGGTGAACTGTTGGGTTTTTTTTCTAATCAAAGAAACTGATAGTCTTTCATCATCCCACACATGGCAGCATGGTTCCTGGGTTTCTCTTCTTCTGTCTGCTTCCTTCTTCTTCTTCAACTGTACTTTCCCAGTTGTTTCTCTATACAAAGCAATGGTATGCCTTCAGACTGAGTGAATGTTGTTTTGCATTAAAGAAAGCAACAAAACAAGAAAGACTAAAGCATCTCCACTGGAGAGCTGTTCTCTGCCATGATGCACTGGCTATCCCTCGAAAAAGGGTAAGGGAGTGCAAAAGCAGGAAAGTAGATGAGAGCCCTGAAATATGCAAAGGAGAGGAGTGCACGGCCAGTGGGGGGATCAGTGTGAGGCACACTGGTTCTTTGGCTGCTGACTGGGAAGGGAAGCCCAGGAGGTACCTCCTGTGCATGAGGGTGCCTGCCTGTGTCACACTGTGCTGTCCTGTGAACAAAGCAGCTGCAGCAGCTCCTTGGCATTAGACTGGATTCTGTCTGTATTGGCGCCTGTGGGAGAAGGATCAAGCTCAGTGCTATACCTGAGGATGTGCCACCTGCTCTGCTGCATTATGTGGGCTGAGGATGAGCCTGCTCCCTGTTGCTGGCTGGGGCAGAGTGCTGGCATCTCCCATGGCCCTCCACTCCTGCTTTAGCCTTTGGAAAGCTACCTACTGTGTACTGTAAGTCTGGGAATAGTCCATGGGACTCCCATGAGTGCCAGCACTCCTGAGAAATTATCTCAAACCTTTAGTGGACTTGATTCATATAATTTTCAGAGGCAGACATCTGGGATTTCTCTTTAGAGGAACTAAAGTGTTCCTGTCCCTCAGAAGTCCCTATCTATTAAAGGAGCCTCTTTTGATAGGTGACAGTCAAAGTCTCTCAGCAGGGCAAGCAGTTAATCTCAGTCATTACACCCTGGAAGGCAGCGAACTAGCAACCTGTGTCAGAAGCTAGTTGAGTGTAACATGATGTAGTGAAAGAGCACATTGGCAGGAGAATGAGTAAATGGAAGACCTATTCCTCCCACTGTCTTTTCTCAAAATGTCATTGTGGAAAGATTGTGTAGCTTATTTGCATTTTTGTTTTGCTATCCATAAAATTATTATCCTTTTGGTCCATTTATATAAAAAACTGATACATCATTTCGCCTGCTTGCCTCCATAGAGCCATTTGCAATCTGGTAAAAGGGCATTGCCTAAATACTAACTGGTATAACATGATAACATGATGTGGAAACACAAAGATAATGTTTACTGCTATTTCATGGGAGTAAAAATGCTGTAACAAATCCGGTTTCTGTTCTTGACAATGCTGTTCCAAGCAAGAACCTTTCCTTTTCAGCTAGGTTGATGGAAGAGAGACCAGAAGTCTTACGTTGCACTCTATTTTTTATCCTACAGCTGTCTCCAACCTTGATGCAGAGAGCAAACTGAGCGTCTATTACCGAGCACCTTGGCATCAGCAAAGAAACATCTTTCTCCCCTCCACCAGGCCACCCTGCGTGGAGGAGCTGCACCACCACGCCAAGCAGCACCTGCGAGCCCTGCGCAGAGGTAGGTGCTCCCCCATGCTCCAGCTCCACACATAACAACTCGCCATGGTCCCCTCCAGGCAGCAGAAGCATGGCCAGGCACAAACATACAGAACTGTGGGCACTGATCTGCATTGGGACTTAGGTACTCATGCTAAGAAATCACAGAATTGTAGAATCACAGAATAGTTCAGGTTTGAAGGGACTTTAAAGATTATCTAGTCCCAACCCCTTTCACAAGAGTTGAAACTGGAGCCCAGTTGTATTAGTCTCCACAAAAACTGAGCTGTCTGCTCAGGGTTTCCAGGCATGATATGGAGGATGCCTGTGTCCTTCAAGAATGGCAGCTGAAAGTCAGATGATAGATGTCCTGGACAGCTTGGAAGAGTTGGGCAGTTCTCCCCTTCCCAGGCTAAGGAACTTTTTCTGACATTACCTAACAAACTGCAGACCTATGGTCTCAAAGCAGCACAAAGAGGAAGCAGGGTCATAACCAGGCTCCTGGATCCCTGCCATAAAGAGAATTTACTAGATGCAAACAGCTGGATGGTCCTACAACAGCACATTATAGGGAAGGCAAAAGATGGGAAAAGGTCAGTTTGCACTGGAAGCCTAAACAAGGGAAAATTATTACCAGGACGTAAGACAAAGCAGACAAACAAGCCTGTCTTTCTTCTGAGCTATAAGGAGGGACAAAATCCATGCAGGTCACACTTAAAATGTTCAGCAGCAGCCTCCTGTCTTGAAGTGTTTTTCACCAACAGCTCTAATTGCCTTGCTTCTTTATGACTGTTATTAGCTTATAATAATAATCGATTACTTAGAACTGCAGAGCATCTGTTAGCTGGATAAGATGTTCCAATTAATTACCACATTTGACCGTCTCTGCAGGTTTTAGGTCAGGAACACACTGTGGATGCAGTATGTCTTCATAGCCTGGCAGAGTGATATAACCAAATTTCAGCCACAGTAGTGCTGGAGTAGAGCAGAAGTTCTTTTCTGTTCTCAGCAGCTCTGATTTGCAATTGTCCCAGAACCAGGCTGATCTTTGCCTGCCATCTTGTGGGCAGGAGAAATCCTGACAGCGGCATGGGAAGGCAGTTCCAGAAAATGTCTCATCATTTAAAGTTACAAATCTCAGTTTTGGCAATTTCCCATCCTCCACAATTAATGACAGCTGTGCAGGTTCAGCAGGCAGCTTATCATATGCTCCTTTATCTTATTTTCCAAATAACTGCATATATGGGGATGAAATGTTAGTCTGAAATTTACTGTAAGCAGGTTTATTGTGTCTTAACTCTTCTATCAGAATTGCATTATCTCTTTATCTGTTCAACCAGGAGCAATTAAAACTAAATTTTAGGTCAGAAAACAGCTATGCTAGCACCAAACATTGTTGACTGGACCACAGCTAGTGGAGCAGGTGAATATATTATCTCCTTTCAGCAGCACTCCGTGCAAACAGCAATTTTCCAACTGTCACCTAAAATTAGAGATGGGAAGTCCATGAGCATTCTCCCATTCACTTGGAAGGTTCCAGAGACTTGGGACTGATGCTGGAAGAGGACTGAATATTGTGAGCCTGTGCTGGAGGAAGACTCTTGTGGGCCTAGGATGGATAAAGATATTGACCTTCCCAGGATGATCTCCTTCATGTTGGAACCTGAGCATTACCACTGCAACAACCTAGCACTGCCATGCTGCCAGGGAATAAAATCCCACCTGGAGCTGTGTTTCTTTTTTTTCCCTCGGAGCAATATATTCTATATGAGTACAATGCAGGCATAGTTATTGCATCTCAGTATTTCAAGGCAATAGGAGCTGCAGGTTCCTGTTGGAAATCAGGCCTTGGGTCTCAAGTGCCTAGAAGGTGGCTCCATTGTCTCTTGGGATAAATGGTATAAATCTCATTTGGGGACAATTCAGCTGCAGTGCATATGCTGGGGTGCATTGTATGGGCATTGCTCTTCTGGGCACATGGATGTCAAGTAAGTGCTTCTCCCCTTCAGTTGCAACAGGGATGATTTGTACCAGTCACTGGGGAAGAGAAGAACCTTTGTCTTTGGAGTCTGCTGTCCTGTACCTGTCTCTTTTGTGCTGTTAATAGAGATATTTGTATGTTTTTAACACTTGGAAAGACTCGTGTCTTCTTTCTCATCCAAAACAGAACATCGAAGCCGAGGTGATAACAGAGAGCAAAAAATCCAAGGCCCCATTGCTGTGGTGGCTCCCCCTTTTCCTCCCTTCTCTGCAATCTGCAGCCAAAAGAGGCAAGCGATAAAGGACCGGCATTTGCTACCAGTAAGTCTTTCACTACGGCTACCACATACAAATACATTTTTAGCATGGTGGGACCTAAGTGTGACAGTGCTTCACAAGTGCCCCCTCCCCAAGCCAGTGCAGCTACAACAGCTCTGACCTTAAAGACTGTCAGCAGCGTAAGGCAGGTCACAGCTTTCAGCAGCCAGCCCCAAGGTGGCTGTTTTCAATCAGAAACCTCTTCTCTTTCACCCGTGGCCAGCACACATATGCTCTCATTCACACACTCCTCCACAAGTCCTCCACATTCACCACTCAGGCTGTAGAGGTAGCACTTTGAGGACCCTCCCGTCATTTCAGGGCTGTAATTTCAGCCCTGGAATTAGCATTTCCAGGAGCCAAGAGCTCAAGGGCTTTGAGTGCCGGCTGAGGCATGTGTGTGTGCAGGAGGTTTGAGAGCATGACCCCAGCTACAAGGACCTACACTTTCCACAGTCCTGTTTTGCAATGTTCATCTCCATGCAGTTTTTCAAATTTTTCATGTCTCACATGTTCTTGCAACCAGCCAAGCAGGAACTCCAGCTGAAGATCTGGTCCTGTATGTCTGTGCTGACTTGCCACTACTGCATTGATTTAAAATCAAATTAGTGTTGACAATATGGTATTTATCATTGTTAAAGGAAATGTGCTAGATTGACAACTTTAACTCTGATTAGATCCATAATTCCCCCTAGCTTCTGTGGCTCTGGGCGTTTTACTCATGGAAGTGTCATAGTAGCAACATTTGCCCTGTACTAAGAGCCACTGCATTATTTTAAGGGTGCAGATCAGACCTGGACCTGGCTTTTAAGCGAGGCGTTTGTCTAATGCCAGCCCTCAGTCAAGTGGTAATAGATCTGTTCTGCCCGTTCAGGGACACTGGCATCTCAAGAGATGCTACACCTGTGAGTACATTATAAGCTTGGTAATGATTCAGTAACCACACTGAATCATCACTTAGTTTAAAAATCCAAGTGCATTCATCCTAATCCATTATATTAACCATATTTAAATACTGTAATGCTAAAGTACTCACAGTGTAAAAGACTCAATGTAAATGAGTCACACCTGCCTAGGGACCAAAACATCAGCCAATCAGTCCATAGTAAAGGTTTTGTTTCTCATTTAAAAAGCATGAAATACATAATAAGATTTGCATTAGTTTGACTGTTCTGACTTTCTGGCTGCTTATCTGGCTAATTTTGAGGACAGAATCACCATCACTGCAGGCTTTGAATTGGTTAAATTTGCAGGCCATATGATTCAACTTAAAGGAGATATCCTGATGTTAGAGGACAGCATAGAAAAAAATTTGAAGACAGAAAGAAGAAACAGGATTACCTGTTTCTTCTTTGTAATTCATCATCAAAGCTAGTGCTGTTATAAGGTCATTGAAAGGTAAAAGGAAGGTGATGCCATGTTAAGGATCAGAACTAGACATAGATGATAGCTTGGACAGGCTATTGAACATAAAGCTCTCTTAGTATCAGATGGGGAACAAGGCATCTCTTTTGAAATTGCATACACAGTGCATAAAGGCCTGAATCTCTGCTGTGTTTGGAAAACCACCAGCACATTTTATACATTACTTCCATCTGTGGAACACAATAACAAATAGTGAGCAACTCTCTGAGTCCTGTATTAGTTGACAAAATTAAGGCATGCTGAACGCAGATGTCTTGGCTATATCTGAAAGTCCACCTTTTTCTTTTCAAGAATGAAATCACTAAGCTTTGTGCCCACCCATATCAGACCTCCTTTTGGAAGCTGACTGGGTTCAGTGTTCCCCTAAGGAGAAGCAAACAAGAGCTGTTGGAGGGCTGTTGTTCTACTGATTTCAAGGCATCTGGCAATGCTTTGGAAATTGCAAATACACCACACCCAGAGTATTTCAAAGTGCCTTAAACTATTTCTGAGAAAACCCCTTGTTAATGGGGCAACTTAAAAATTAAAAGAGAATAAGGCAAGATGAAGCTGCACATGAATGTTCTGTCTGGCAGAGGTTAATCGGAGATTGTTACAAGACACTGCAACAGTGAATAGCAAATGGATATTGTGCCAGCCTTCATGATAAAATGATACTATTACAAGAGAAAGCTGAGAATGCTGTAATTGGCTAGCTTGCTCTTTTTGGCATAAGATCGACATCTGCAAAAGTTTATCTGCTTCAGGGACTGCTGGTAATGTTTGATATCTGATTCCAGTTGATGGTATCATCTAGTCGTCAATGAACTAAAGATGCTAAATCCACAATAATTTTTATTCATGGCATAGCAGTATGTTGTGTGTTCCACTCTTCTGATGCATTGGGAAGGTGCTAAAGGGAGTGATACTACACAACCAGAAGAGCCCCTTTTTGTGTTTCTTTTAAATTAGGAAAGGGATCAACAAGAAGCTGGGAAATTTTTGAAAGTTACAGCATCTGACTTTTCCAAACTGCCTATCTAAGTTAAATGCATGTATTAAGATACTCAAATAAGGAACTTGATTTTGAGGAATGTTCAAATTACCACTGAAACCTGTGGGAACTACCACTACTGAAAGTTACTGAGAAAACAGGTTACTTATATCTGAGTCAAGGTTCCCTGTGTGTGTACCTTTTGGCTGCTGCTACCAATTAGGTGGCTATGAGCTCTTCCAAAGATACAGAGAAAATCAATCACAACAGATGAAGATTCACTTTTAATTACAACTCTGTTTACAGGGAGAAAGATGCCAAAGTCCCAAAAATTCCAAGAAAGAACAAATGAATTCAAGTTCAAAGCAAGTAATGCCAGCATAAATGGGTCTGGAAAGACATTTTGGACAGTTCCATCACAAGATCACTTTGTTGTGGAGAAAGAGTAGAGAAATACAAATGGAATAGGCTCTTTCATGTCTACTCTTATTACAGGAAACTCCCTAATTTGGCTGATGAAATGTCCACTTAGCCCAAAGGCCAGAAGGGGATCCTTCAGGAAGGAGCATAAGAACAGGGCATGATTTATGCTGTTTATTGTCCCATGATTTATCCTTCCAGTTTCATACAGAACCTGGTTACAGAGTTCCTGGGCCAAAGATCAAACAGAATAATAGCCATCAAAGAATCTCTCTGTGTTGACTGTGAGACTTGTTTAATCCAATTTTTAGCAAATTTACACCGTCAGCCTCAACAGCATCCTGTGACAATGACCTTAAAAATCTGTATGAGAATGTAGCTTTTTGTTTGTTTCAAACCCAATACTTCATAATTTCATCATATCCTTTCTGATTCTCAGACTATGAGAAGCAGTAAGCATTGCTTTCTCATTCCCTTTCTCCATGTTCCTCATGGTTTTGCAGACATGACTTCACTTAACTCCATTCCAGTCATTCATTTTTAAAGCTGAAAACTGGCATACACACTTATCTCTCTACACTAAATAAATATACAAGCAAACACATTTAAAAGTGTCATTCATTCAGGCATTTTTGCCAATGAAGAAGAAGAAAAACCCAAACCAAACTGAAAATAATCTGAGAGGAGTATGAGAAAGTTATGGGCTTGCTAAAATGAGGAAAACATTTCTTACAAATGTTCCCATGACAACCCTGCCTGTAGCACTGCTGAGGCCAGTCACTAAGTGTAAAGATGCTGTGTCATTCCAACTGCCTTTCAGACTTCTCTTTAATTTTTTCTGCATTTTTTCTTTCTTGGGTTTCCCCAAGTCCAGCCAGCAAGGCTCTAAAATTTCTGTATTCCAGTTCAGAATGTTATGGGACCACATTTTCTCAAACCCCACGTGGCACAGCTATTATAATAAAACCAAGGAGATGGAGTGAGGAATTCAGTATTTGGAGATTTACTCTCACAATTGCAAAAATTTCAGTGTCAGTTTATTCCTAATTATAATCTGAGCAGGAATCTAAGGGACTAAGAAGCAGGAGGGTTTTTTCCAGACAGGGTTTTTCTGTCCCTGAGGCCTCAGCTAGAGCAAATGTGAAGGGAAAATAATGAATTGGGTAATTTTATTCCGTCTCCTTGCCATTTCAAAAATATTCCCTATGGTCTGCTTTAGGATGCTTTGTACAGCAAAGGGAAGGAAGTACAACTGAATATATTAACTTTCACACAGTTTTGTGCTGAAGCCAGATGAAGCCTCAGTAAGAAACAAAGGAGTTAAGGGACAGGCATGAGTTGGGCTCTGCACTTTCTGTGTGCAAATCCTGCCTGAAGGTGTTGGAAATAAAACCTACCTGACTTTATTCATCAGACAGAACTTGTATAGCACCATTTGTGCAATGAGTCTAATACCTACTACCCTGTATTGTGGGATGTTTATTTTGTACCTTTGTCTGCTGAAATGCCACATGTGGTATGACTTCTGTCACAAAACATGTCTTAGTTTTGTCTTTACGTTGTCAAAACACTGGAGCTGTACATTAATCGTTAAAGGATTGTCAGTACTTTAGCTGATTGCATTTGTGATGCTCCAAAAGAAAAGAAAACACCCACAAGCAGAGAAAATAAAAACTTGAGGAGAATGAAACATACAAAAATATTAACATTGGGAGCAGGCAGGTGAGCAGGGTTGTGATTTGCAGCAAAAATAGCATGGCCAGAAATATTCCCATTATTTTCTCTTCAGCATCAGTTGACTGTGTAAGAAAGCTGCTGTATAGTTATGAATTTCTATAGTTATGAAATTCTAATGAATTATAATTATGAATTCTAATCTACAGCCGACTGTGCTCTGAAAATACTGAAAGCTGGTAGCCTTTTATTAGTATTTCTTCTTTCTCTAGACCTTCAGGTTTTTCTATCATGTAAATAAATACCATTTTCTTTAACTCCTGTGAGTTAAGGGAGCAGCAGGCTCTCCATTTCACAGGCAGAGAGGATACACAGAGGTTTCAACCAGCTCCCCAGGAGTCAGTACTGTACTCATGTGATTGTGGGATTGAACACTAGTTCATACTTATTCTACATGTTGCCTTTTCAGTGCATGAATGACTGTTCTTAAATGAGATGTCAGGATGTACTGTATACCTAATTCCTATGCTTCCATGGGATGAAAGCAAACTGTATGTATGTTCTGTTTGCTGGAGACAACAGCAGATATATAAAGCTTGCAGATGTTGAAGCAACATGCAGATGCTCTGCTTGGGTGAATATCACCCACTGTATTCATAAGGTTACTCTTGGAGGGAAATTTCCCCCACCTACTGCAATAGAAGCCTGAAGTCAGAAATAATATTGATCCCTTATGCTTTTTGTTAGCTGCAGCTTTTAGGCAGCAGCAGTCAGAAATAATCCTCTGGAGAATAGCACTGTGCAGCAGCCACCTCCTGCCCTCACCAAGGCTGTGCCAGCCCTGTGCTGCTGGGGGCTGAGACTCTGCCACCTAAATCTCTTGTGAGATAACCCCTTGCCTGCCTGATCAAACACAGCTGAGGGGGAAGGAATCAATTCAGCCATGTCTAAATTCAACAAACACGTTGAGGATAAATGCTCTTGATGAGGCTTTAGCATTCTGTCTTTAATTAACCGAGGAAAATTTGTTTCTTTACTCTTGGGTTTTTACTATCATGGTTGCACCTGGTTCCATAGGCCCTGTGCACTAACTTTGAAATCCCAGAATCTCCTGTAAGGCAATCACTATAGGTAAGGCAGGCTAGGCACATGATATAACACAAATTATGCTTCTTGAACCAGCCTTTCCTATTTAACAACAGTCATGTCTCAGAGCTTTGGGAGATGGAAAAGAGGGGCAGAAGTGGTATTTTTGTCCTGTTATTGACCCATTCATTTCTTTCAGATCCCAGCTCTGGGACAATAAATGGGGCAGGCTCATGAATTTCCAGGCTGGCAAGTTTGTTGACTGCTGATTTGCTTCTTTATCCTGATGATATTTTATTCTCTGTCCTGATGATATTTTAAGGTTTCAATTCATTAAAATGGTTAATGATGAATCCTGACTAACATATGTTCTAGTAATGCTCTTCCTAAAATCAGGGTGAGAGTGTTCAGGGGTGCTTCATCTCAGCCCAAGTTAAGTGCTGAAGGAAGGTGAGCTGAATTGCTCCTCAGCAGAGCCACTATCTCTTTCTCTACAGGGGAACCTCTGTTGTCTAGCCAGACTTGTACATCTGGCTTTTGTTGTAGTGCACAGAAACCAGACTTTCACATTGAAGTGACATGGAGCACTGAGAAATCAGGTCACGTGCATATGCAACAAGATTTTTACTGCAAGGCAGTTTCATGAGCACAATGGCACCTCTGCAAGTAAGGTTGATGGGATAGCTCAGGAAATAAAAATGCTCACATATGTCAGTGACAAATCCCTATTCAAGCAATTATGCACTAGTTTTGTTTCAAAGCAATCTTAGCCCATTAAAGAAAAATGCACACTTAAAGTATTCTGGCTTTGTACTTAACAGAATGATTATCACTGTTTCTGTTTGCCAAGCACACCCACACAAAAGAAATTAACTTTTAAAACTGCCTAACTTCAGATTTGCCCATTGGACCAGAATAGCCTTGGGTTTATAATAATAATTTCTTGCTTAATTACGTGTTTACTCAGAACATTTAGAGATATTCTGGTTTTCTGAGTGAATGAGAACTTTTGAAAAGTAGCAGCTCCCTCCCCCTGCATGGAGGTGTTGAAATGCTGAGGCTGCTGCTCTGTGCTGGCATGTCCCAGCTGCCCCAACGACAGGCACCACATGGGAGCAGGCACTAAGTGACCTCAGGACCCCTTGGCGAGGCAGTGGGAGCACCAGCTTTCTCAGGAGCACAACTGTGACAACAGAAACTGAAATTTTGCTGGTCACCTTCATTTTTGTCCTATCCTATCTCTAATGATAGGAACTTACCTAGGAGGTTTGTCCTGCCATGCTTAAGCTGAGACCTGAGCCTCTAGCACATCAAAGGATGGCTGTATGTACGTGGAAGCAGACAGGTGTTTTCTCAGAGGCACCTGGCAGAGTGGCACATGGGTGAGGCAGGGAAGTGCTGCACTGATAGGACAGACAGATGGGTAACCATATCTTGCTTGTCTTGACTGTAACCCACACTATTATCTCTGAGACCAAAGTTGAGGTCCTGCTGTTTCTCTCCTGAACAGGTTTGCCCCTGAGTGGCTTGTGCATGTAGCTGTGCTGAAGCTCAGGGCAGGAGGTCCCTCCTGTCCTCTTCTCTTTGTGCACTGACAATCACAGGCCACGGGATATTGCAAAGATTTTCACATGTTGAACTCCTGTCACCTCAGCAGCATTAGTCAGAGATCCTCTAGCACCTTCCATGAGGAATTAAATTTCAAGCATCCTGGTACCTGCAGTCAGTCTACTTAGAGCAGGTGACTGGAAACTTACCATCCTTGGGTATCTGAGGAGTAATTAGACTGAAATTGTTGATGTATTCAGTATCTCCACAGCCTTCGTTGCATGAACAGAGGTGTTGCTCCTGTGATAAGCATTCTTCCCAGCTTGGGAGAACTGCTTTTCCACTGGCCTGGGCAGAAACTAAGCTGCTAGAAATGTTCTCTTTTGATTTCCCCTGCTTTGGTCTCCTGTAAGCCTTGTGGACAGCTCATCTGGAGGCTTCCCATGGGCACATGGGAACCAGGGAAAATAGGAGATGTATGTCTAGGAAGAGATGCAAGATTAGGTCTTCTGAGACTCACTACAACTTTTTGTCCTGAGAGGAGACCATATAATGTAAAGTCTTTCAAACTGAAGTTTGTTCATCTGTCACAGCAGTGTTGATAATGATTAATAATGGCTGGGAGGAAAATCATTCACAGAATTATTTGGCATTATTAGTCTGCTAGCTAACGCATGGAGAGATAATAACCCCTACCAAGAAACGTGCTAGGGATTTCCAGAGTTGTCAACAGACCGGTTTTCCTTATCTCTTTTTTAAATTTCCTATTTCAAAAGAAGCCAGCTGTCCTTCACTCCTTGATTTTGAAAACTGGACAATGCCACAAACAAACCAGTTTCTGACAGAACAGGATTTTAGAGGTATAGGGATCAGCAAGACCCAGGACACTGTGGCTATTGCTATTTGTCCTTTCAAGTGTTACAAAAAGTGACAAAAAGCCAATTGGTTGTTGTCACTCTGCCACAACAACTGCAAGCTTAGAGACGCAGTGATATCATCAGAAACACGTAGCAATCAATGTATGGTGATAAATCACCCATCAGCATGATTATTTATTTCCATTTGCTTAAAACTGAAGAAAAAATGGAAGAAAATTCCCTTATATTATGAAATAATTTACATTTATAATTCAATTTTGCAATTGGATATGTATCTTGCACTGCTTCAGCTCCAGGCAGAACACAGTTTGAGTTACCAAATCAATACAAGGCATTTTTGGGACAATTTAAGCATGTCTGTACAAGGAGGCTGAACCAATTTCACTGCAGTTTTGTCTAATCCACGTAAGCAAAACCAGCACAGACTTCACAGGGGTCCAAACCAATAAGTTGTGGGGAATAAACCCATCAGTAGGAAACAGGGTGGAAATCTCTTCTCTTTTTGGCTCTGATGCTAATTTATCCAGACAAAAATTATGTGATTTTACAATAATTGTTTTGTGTATGTTTTTAATTTTTTTTTTCCACATTTCACATTTATAGTTTAACAGCACCCGTTCGCCCTCCCCAGTTGAGTGTTGCCACATGACCCCCTGGAGTAGAAAGGTACTGGAAAAACAAGCAATCCTCAATTAACAGCCCTGTCCCACTCTTCTCCCTTCCGGATCCTAATCCTTCCTCTTGCTTGCTTTTCACTTGCTAACTTTACTGTGCTAAAATAAACCATTTCTGTTTTTCTTATGTCAGTAAGACACAAAAATAACTTTTTTCCCCCTCTTCTTTCATTCTTCACACCTTGGATGGGTTTCAGGAGCTCAAGGCCACAAAGCTGCCTCCCTCTATCCCCTCCTTTAAAAGGCCTAAACTTGGACAGACTCAATAGCGTTAGCAATTGCATTTAATTCTCTTGTCATGTTTTGCAACTGCCCCTTCATTTTCTCTTAAACGGTAAGAAATGGTTTGGACAATTTGGATGCAGTGACAACAGGTATTTATTTATTCTGTGGCCATTTGGTGATGCCACTGTTTGGAGGGCAGGAGCTCTGGCAGCCAGAGCCACTTTGTCCAGCACTTCTTTGTCATCCAGGAAAGGATGAATTTGGCAACAAATGCAGCGTGTGTGTGTGTATGTGTGTGTGTGTGTGTGTGTCCGTGTGTCCCCACGTGCCTGTGCGTGCAAGGGTGGGTTTTTTTGCATGCATGCATCAAACTTAGGGTGGGGGGGTGGGGGGGAGTTACCTAGGAAACAAAGTCTTTTGTGCTTGAAGTTTATATGAGCTATTCACGTCTGCCGGGAATCGGCACAAAAGCTGCAGGCAGAAAGAAGGCTGCAATGTTTGACTGAAATCCTACGTGGGAAAAGAGGGTTTTCTGCGGGCGGGAGAAGAGGAAACGTGTGTTTTCTTGGGTCTGGGGGTGCTGCAGGAGGTGACACTGACGAGGTAAGTGCCCTCCAACAGTTTGAATAGTAGCTGCAGAGTTAAGATCTTTAATGCTTTTGGGGCCGGGATGTAAATGCTGTTTGGCAAGCCTGAGATGGTTAATTCCTCCAGGATTTGTGAGGAGCCTGGGCGGAGGAATGGCAGAAGTACAATGGCAGACAGGGCATGATCCTGCCGTGTTCAACACCCACCTGCTCAATGCTCTGCCATGACAATGTAGAACAACATTTTATCTTTGCCCTGTTTGCTACCTAAACTAAAACTGGCAAATGAAGTGTAAACAGCAGGCATGAAGGAGGAAGGCTGGTAGTTAAGCAGCTGGGAATTCAAGACTGAGAGAAAGCCAGTCAGAAAGGGACTGCACTTCATTTTTAAAAAATGAGAGGCAGACAGAGGTCCTGAGCTGGCCAAACAGTTGTCACAGCTTACAGAAGAATGTATTAATGGAAGAAGGGAGGGAAATTAGGCAGCAGAAGGAAAAGGTAAGTGTTTCTCCACTCTGTCTCTTCCAAACAAAACAGAAACTTTTTTTTTTTTGCAAGCAAAGAGACCCCCCCAAACCCAAGTTGGCAGCCAGCACCACATGAAAATTCACTTACTTTATTTCTCTTTGCAAGCCAGGGTACTGGGGGATTTGTTCTTTCTTCCAAAAAGAAAACAAACTGTGCTTCTTCCATGCTGTTTACTTTTCTCTTTGTTTCTTTATCTTTAGCATCTATTACTTCCTGTAGTATGCTATAAAAACGTGTGGTTTCTAAACAATCTTTTGAATGTCTTCTGATAGTACCTACTGTTTTCTTTGGTTGTTATCCCCCTGTCCCAGCACCATCAACACCTGCCACTTCCCACCACACAGCTGTTGGATGGCTGTACTATGGTCTGCTCTTGATCTGCATTTGTACAAATGAAATGCAAATGGTTATTCTGAAGTATGGAGGGGTCTTCTTTTAAACTTTGGACCTTCTGATGCTTGAATGAATGGTTATATGAGGCAGTTGCAGTTGCAAATGAGAACCCACATGTCTAATGCTTGTGGTAACTGAGGACACGCTTGCCATTGCTACACACGAATGCAGAATGTGCCCCTTCTGACAGAGGAGATGGCCTGTAAATGTCACTGTAAATGTGCTGAGTTCCAGTGTGCTGAGGTGTTTTTCTCCTATTAGCAGGATGTTAGGTTTCCACTGGAGAATGGCTGGTGCTGTCTGACTTAGAACGATTCCTCCCTGCATCCCTGTAATTGATTTCTGATTTGTGTGTCTGCTTTGTTTCAAAATTAGCCTTGTGTGCCTGAATGGGAGACACTGATTTTGAATGTATTCATTTGCAGTCCCATCCACCAGAGGACGAAGATACAGATGTCATGTTAGGGCAGAGGCCGAAAAATCCAATACATAATATCCCTTCTACACTGGATAAACAAACCAATTGGAGTAAAGCACTACCTCTCCCAACTCCAGAGGAGAAAATGAAACAAGATGCCCAAGTGATTTCTTCTTGCATTATCCCCATCAATGTCACTGGTACAAATCTCTTCTATTTATTTTTGTATTTATTGCATGGTTCAAGGGAGGTCAAGTACTTATTTTGTTTAATTTATTTGAAGTCACGGGATTGTGCAGTCTGGGGGCAAAGACCCTAGCTTGAGGATTTAGTTTCTGAAAGACAGTGGGCTAAATTCATCCCTTATGCGTGACTGCTGGAGTCACTGAAGCTGCATCAAGGATTAATATGGCCCATATTTTCAGAGTCATGTTATATGGTGTAACATAACCCTAGTTCCCTGTATAAACAATGTATTTTTGTTGTGTATATAACCTACAATCTGTATTAACAAAGACCTCAAATAACTTTTTGAATGTAGCTGACTGAAATAATGTAGAAAGCCACCACAATTAATCATATGATTATCATGTGTAGCAGGAGAAGATAAACTAGAGAATGTAGGCTACTATTTGCAGTGCTTTAAACATGCAAGGCATGAATGTGTAGCATGCAAACCATCGCTCTGAGATCTCTTTACATGCAGCTATGCTGAAGGTATAGTAATGGCATTTCTTTTATTTCTATAACATTTGGATATATTTGACTAGATTTATTTGAAGGAGAACTTGTTTATAGAAGCAGCAGGTATATCACTTATTAAATGTGATAGATGACTTATTTCCAGAATCAAAAATCAGGCTGTTTTTCTCTTTCTCCTTTTCTCTTTCTTTCCTTCCAGAGGGCTGTGGTAAACATAAAGTTGATCTGGGTTTTCCTCAATAATGTTTTCAAATACCAAGTTTTGATTAACATAAGAGCATAAAGTTGGCTAACTTTCACAGTTATAGACTTCAATGTAAACAATTAGGAAAAAAAGCAGGGGGCTTTCAGTTGACCTTCATTCTCCAGAGAAAATATTTTATTTAATACTATTTTCCGAGTAACTGGGCGGTTGGGGTAAGGTCACAGCCCCTCACTTCCCATTGTTCTTCCCCATGTCTATCAGTGGTGCACAAAACTTCCTGCAAGACAGGCTGTAGGATTCACCATGGTGCTGGAGAGGGTTGTATGCCTGCAGTCCAGCTTCAACTCACAAACAAGGCTTTTGGGCTGACAGCATCACGGTGATAAGTCCCCATCTGCTCCACCATCAGCTGCATGAATCCTCCCAGTGACAGCAACACAGTCCCAGTTCCCCTCCGTCCTGGTAGAGGAGGTGGCTGCAAAGTGCCACCAGCTCTGCCTCCCTCTGGAGGTGGCAGCCAGGAGTGGGTGTCCCTTTCTCCAGGACAGTGCTCTGGCCACAGGAGGACAGGCAGCTGGGTCGCAGATCTGCCTGCATACACCTTGCTGGGCTGCAGGTCAGGAGCCAGCTGGTCAAGGTTGTGAGTTGGGCACTGCCCCTGGAAATCACCACGGAAACTCATAGATAATGTGGCATATTTCCACGAGGTAAAGCTGGTGATAAAAGGATGCTCCTTCTAGTTTCAATATAGGACCCTAACCAGTGCAGGCTTTCTAACAGGGCTATTGTCACCAAGTGCAGCCAGAGGACAGTTAGGTCTGGGACCAATGTTAACTTTTCCAGTAATAGCCATTTTTGCCTAGACTCCACCTGCCATACATTGGAACCAAATTTCCACTGATCAGTTTTACAGATCAAGAATGGTATGTAATCTTCTGGATGTTTATGTGTATCATTCTCATTAGCACTAATGGGAATAATTTGTATGCATCACGGGGAAGAAATACCCTCTTCCACTTTCCTCTCAGAGATGACCCCCGTGCATCTGGCACACAGAGCATGTTCAGCTAACTCACAGTTGCTGGAAAACCAGCAATGATGCTGATTGATTTTTTGTTTCAAAGAGTTTGCTTTTAGTTCTCTGTTTTTGTTTTTTAAGCTTCTCCCAACCCTGAGAAATGTTCACTTTTTTGAAAATGATTGTTGTTGGAGTTTACGGCACTTTTGTTCCATATTAAAGAAAGTTCTTCCTCTGCTTATTTCAGGGGCATTGGTGGTTACAGGACATCTGTCTGAAGCCTCTATTTCACTGTAGTAGATTTCAAGAAGAACTTTTACAAGAAAGTTACTTTTTAATGTTTTACATTGTTATGTAATGTAATATGTATGTGTATGTCTGTGTATAATTATGTTTTCTATAATTATACGCTATTAAAATAGAGCTTCTTATCAGGATTTTTTTTCCTTTTGTTTGCTTTAGTTTGTTTGTTTTTCTTAAGATTACAAACCACCGTACCAGCAATCCTTATGTTAGTGTTTTTATGGACCTGGCACATTTTTTCCAACCTGTCCCATGTCAACTTTAGAGAGCATGAGTGAGTGTACAGTTGTGCAAAAAGCCAGTACAGATGGTCACAGGCCTTCTGATTGACCTCCTTTTAACTTTTTGACCACACAGCGTAAAATCAAACTGCAAGACATTTCCCATAGCTAATGCCATGGAAGCATAAAGAAAGCAATGAATTCTCACCTATTCTGTATGAAGATGGTCATAAACAAATGTACTTAAGAACTTGTGCTTCTAAATCTAAACTGAGTGTCTTGATTGCGTGACCTGAGCAGACTCCCACCATGTGCTCTGCACATGGGAAAATCAGGTCACTTCCTGATGTATGCAAGTAAACAGCAACTCCTTGTTAATGTCATACTTAGTCATGTGTCACTGTCACAGAGAATGCTCTCTAAACTTGCATGGTGACTTGGCCCCATTTTAGCTGTCTCCTTCCTTTTTGAAATGTTAGCTCCCTTGGCATATTGGTCTCCTAAGAAGTACCCAACTACTGCAATATGGCATTATAACCTTAAAATGTTTTCTTACGCTTAGTTGCTTAAAATAAGTCAGGCTACAGCTGAACAGATAATGCTTTGCAGACAAGTTACTGTCATTGTCCCTATGACAGATGGATATATAGCTATAAGAAAGATGCCCTGCTACCAAGAGTTCTCTATTTGCCTTCCTGATTTTCTTTCCTTTTTCTGTTCTTTTTCTTTTCATGCCTTCTGTTATTTTTGGCAGACCAGGCTGCTGAGGGGGAGCTGAAATTAGATGTAAAACTGTCATATACTGTGATATAATTTACTTAAGAGCTACATAAGGGCTCCCTTATGTTTATTCACAGGCTTAATCCAAGCTCACATACCTCCACTGTGTTCCAGCCATGAAAATTTGTTTACTATTTCTAAAGGCTAATGAGACCTATTTATGGGTTGCAGGAGTTGGTTTTGACAGAGAGGCTAGTATACGCTGCTCTCTTGTTCATTCACAATCTGTACTACAGCGGAGACGAAAGTTGAGGAGGAGGAAAACCATCTCTGGCATCCCCAGAAGAGTGCAACAAGAAATAGGTGTAGTATAAATACAAATCTTCCATAGATAGCATTCTAACCAACTTAAATTGCAGGGCTATGAGCTGGTAGTTACCCTTTCAAAGAAATGAAACCTTGAACGTGTAAATGCTTGTGGAGTTTACGAATGACATGTTTTGTTCTTTTGATTTAGTACAGTAAGAAAAGCTATATTACTCCATATGGCCTTGAAGGACTGGGGGCCTTACTGAGTAATATAGATGTACGTGTTCAGCTCTTATTGTGTAAATGTTAATCAGTTATTTTTTTCTTTTTCATTTTATTTCTGTTATGAACCCATAGTTATGTGCATAAAAAGTAACTAGATTAAGTGAAAGTTTTTTCTTGCATCAGGGGAGCTTAAGGTAAAGAACTGACAGATGTTACTCCACAAAGTGATGAACAGTTGTCACAACAGCTGGATAACTTGGATGAGTGGTTGAATACCCACCATAGATACAGCTGCTGGTACCCTACGGGAGTTTTCCTAAACCTTCCTTTTATTTATCACACTCCTCAATTCCTTGCTATTATTCTTTATTATCAAGAATATTTGCCTTAAATCTACCAAATTACCTGACTTTTTATCAGGGTAAATTAGAAGCAACTCCGCTGGGGGCAAATTCAGTGAAATTAATATTAACTCAAAACAAAACTAACAGAATTGTTATTTCTGAATGTTCATCTACACCTGACGACGGCTCTGGTGTTTCAGTCAGTTGCCATGAAACTTGATTTGAAGCAGAAGAAATGTGTTTATCGTAGGGAATAAGCAATCAGAGAAGCTATGAAAAAAAGATCCTTTTGTCTTGCAAATATTCTTGATAGTAAAGAAGCAGATAATGGAAATTCTGAACAGACAGGTAGGCGAAACTGAATTATTTTCAGAAACTTATGGAGCGTTTTGTCCAGCAGCCACTCCTGAAAACTTTAAGTAGCTGAAATAGAGTCATAAAAACTGAAAACTTAGTATTTGTCTTAATATTTAGCACAGCAAGCTCAGCTCCACATTGAGAATGCATTGCAGAAATCATGTTGCAGGACTAGAATTTCCCTACCTCACTGGTAGGAGGTCTGCCTTATAAATTCCTTATACAAAACTTAAATTTGATCCAATGCTCAGAAAGATTAAAAAATAAAGAATGCGGCAGATCATGCTTCTTGGGTTGCTCCGCGCGTTGTCTCATGCCAGGAAATGTGGAGCTCTCTCCCACTCACCCAGCTTTCCATGTGTCCTAGATTCAGATGAGTCGCCAGTGGCGAGAGAGCGCAATGTGATTGTGCACACAAACCCAGAATTCCCTGGCTCCAGCAACAGGAGGTTGGGGACCCGGGACTCGGAGTGCCAGACGGAAGAAATTCTGATAGCTGCTCCCTCCCGGCGACGGATCCGTGCCCAGCGGGGGCAGAGTGTTGTCGCCTCCCTCTCCCACTCCACTGGCAACATCTTGGTGCTGGCAGACAACGGGGATGCAGTCTTTGCTGCTGCTGTGAGCAACCGCATCCGCTCGCGGAGCCTTCCTCGCGAGGGGGCTCGGGCCAGCGAGGGCCATCAGGATGCATCCACTAAGAGTGCAGGGTACGAAGTGGAGCACTTCCTAGCTGGTCAGGAGAGGATCCAGAAAAAGGGGAAGGAGATCTTGAGCAAGCAGGGTTCACAGGAATGCCAGCCCATTGGTTTAACTTGTCCTCAGCACCTGCATAGCCCCGAACACAGCATCGGCGAGAGGGGGAGATCGCGGTTGTCAAGGATGGTCGATTCAGGCAGCTGTGAAATTTCATCCAACTCAGACACCTTCGGGAGCCCAATTCACTCCATCTCCACAGCAGGAGTCCTGCTCAGCAGCCACATGGACCAGAAAGATGACCACCAGTCCTCCAGTGGCAACTGGAGTGGGAGCAGCTCCACATGTCCCTCCCAGACATCTGAAACCATTCCTCCTGCTGCCTCTCCTCCACTAACAGGCTCTTCACACTGTGACTCTGAGCTGTCACTCAATACCGCTCCCAATGCCAACGAGGACTCCAGTGTCTTCATCACAGAGCAGTTTGGTGATCACACAGACAAGGTCAGGGGCCACAGGGCAAGCTCCTTCACATCCACTGTGGCAGATTTACTGGATGACCCCAACAACAGCAACACAAGCGACAGTGAGTGGAACTACCTGCACCATCACCATGATGCCTCCTGTCGCCAGGATTTCAGCCCTGAGCGCCCGAAGGCAGACAGCCTGGGATGTCCCAGCTTTACCAGCATGGCCACCTATGACAGCTTCCTTGAAAAGACCCCCTCTGACAAGGCAGACACTAGCTCACACTTTTCTGTGGATACTGAAGGATACTATACCTCCATGCACTTTGACTGCGGTCTGAAGGGTAATAAAAGCTATATTTGCAACTATGCAGCCCCAGGCTCCGAGAGTGGCCAGACTGGCAGCATGACTTCCAGCCTAGCTGACTGTGCCTGGCAGGAGTGCATGAACCACAGGAGGCAGGCACGGCAGTGCATCTCATTGAAGAAACCAAAGGCAAAGCCAGCCCCACCAAAACGCAGCTCATCTTTGAGGAAATCAGAGGGTAGCACCGACCTTCCTGACAAGAAAGAACCAAAGATCGGTGGTGGGCAGCATGTCTCTCACACTGCCAGGGAGATGAAGCTGCCCCTTGAGTTTTCAAACACACCTTCCCGAGTGGAAGGCCCCAACCTGCCAGCCAAGCAGGAGCTTCCCTGGCCAAATCAGGAGGATGGCGGCTTAAAGGACACTCCGTTCGACACTGTCAATATCCCCTCCTTTAAAGATGAAGGTGCTGAACAACCTCACTATGCAGACCTTTGGCTTCTGAATGACTTGAAATCTAGTGATCCTTACAGGTCCTTGTCCAATTCAAGCACTGCTACGGGTACTACAGTCATAGAGTGCATCAAGTCACCAGAGAGCTCTGAATCCCAGACGTCTCAGTCTGGGTCACGAGCTACAACCCCATCCCTCCCCTCTGTTGATAATGAATTTAAGCTGGCCTCCCCTGAGAAGTTGGCAGGGTTAGCCTCACCCTCCAGTGGGTACTCCAGCCAGTCAGAGACACCCACCTCTTCTTTTCCGACAGCCTTCTTTTCAGGACCGTTGTCTCCAGGGGGGAGCAAGAGGAAGCCAAAAGTTCCAGAGAGGAAGTCATCACTGCAGCAGCCACTCTCAAAAGATGGCACTGCCTCAGTGAGCAAAGACCTCGAACTTCCAATTATACCTCCTACTCACCTTGACCTAAGTGCTCTTCACAATGTCTTGAGCAAGCCCTTCGCTCACAGGCACCAGCTGCATACCTTTAGCCACAGCAAGCAGAGCGCAGTCGGGGAAGCCCTGCAGCCCAGCCCTCCCTCTGCCCTCGCCATCACACCCTCTGTTCTCAAGTCTGTCCAACTCCGGGCAGTCAACAAGCCTGAAGGAGTGAAACATAAAGGCAGTACCCCAGACCTGCTCTGCATACAGGAGACCACCTTGATGGCAACCGAGGTCTCTCCAGGCAAAATGAGGCCGCTCTTAGCTAAGAAACCAGTATCACGCCAGTACTCTACCGATGAGGCCATAATGCTGTACATTGACACTTCCCCAGCAGAAGCAGGCCCTGGAAAGCCACCTTTAGAGAAAAGCTCCTCTTTTGGTGGGCAGAATAGCTGTGAGCAAGAAGCTGTAACTTCATCAAGCGTGGGGCTGATTGAAATCAAACCTGAGAAGGACCAAACACTCCTGGCCGCTGAACACTTACCAGAAAGCTCTATGAATCAGACATGTGCCGTCCCCATGGATAACTTTCAGAAAGGCTCAGCTGTCCCCACAGGTGATGATGAAACACAGAAGCCTGTCCAGGGAGCAGAAACAGTGCACGATCTTTATCAAGTGCAGGCTCAGCAAGAGCTCTCCGCAGGCAGTGAGGGGAAGGTGGAAGCTGGGCCTGTGGATGAAAGCCCAGCTCAGGCTGAGGGACCGGCCATCATCTATCAGTTAAAGCACCAACCCGATGTAAGCCACCATGTGCCTGGGAATATCAGCAACGAAGCAGACATGGCAGCAGTGGATTCACTCAGTGAAGAGGGCTGCAAGCAGGAAAACTCTATCACATCAGGTATCCCAACCAAAAGTGCCTCTGACGACAGCAGGGCAGACGAGACAGTGGGCAGCGCAGACGAGCCTTCGCTGAAAGGTCAGTTGGGAATTTTTTCTGTGTCATATCCAATCAGGCAGCTTTGGATGGGATGGCAGTGGAGTCAAAGCAGAGTGGCACATCAGCTTCCCTCTGTGGGTTTAAGCATAGACCCCCTCATGTCTGTTAGCTGGCCAGCCAACCAGCCCAAAGCTATTTACACTTTTCCAAAGTATTCAGACTGCATTTCTGATATTTATTTCCTCCCTTGTGCTACATTTCAGCTGAAAAGATAAAAGGGAGGAACATTGGCCCTGGGTACAAAAGAGTTTGATTGTCATAGCAATGCTGTAAATGGGAGATCCTGTGTTCAGTGCTCCTTTAATGGGCTCCAATATGGAACAGACACAATTTCTAGATTAGAGGGTAAAGGCTGAATAGTGGTATCACCCACTAGGTTTGAGCGGAGCTGGTGCCTCCAGCTGGCAGTGCTGTTGCAAAGTGCAGTAGAGTCTGACTCATAACGTGGCTTCTCTCCTTTTTAAGAATCTTCTCCAAGCGATGAGTCCATCATGTCTCCACTGAGTGAGGAGTCACAAGCTGACACTGAGGATGTCTTTGTGTCTCCAAACAAACCCCGCACTACTGAGGACCTGTTTGCAGTCATTCACAGGTGACCTAGCCTTGTGGCAATGGAAAATGGTAACATGCATCCCTGCACAGTTGTCCACTAACAATAGCTGCAGGATGGCTATTCTATGTTTAAGTCTTGTCCTCAAACTACGTTCTTTAGTTAACTCAGTTTAATTTTCTAGAAGGCAGCTTTAAAACCTGCTTTATTATGCCCTGGAGTGCAGTCTGAGTATCTTCATGGCGTATGTGGGATGCTTTACAGATAAAAACATCAAGCTATTCTCTCTAATCAACATATGTCTTCAAAGAAAACTACCCGTTCCTGTCTTCTGCCTACCAGTCCACTAGCTCTATTCTGGTGAATGAGTTGTTGCAGGGAGAAGGATATGAGAGGGCATCTCTTCAATTTTAGAGTGTTTTGTAGTCCGCTGAAATTTGGGATCAACTGAAATTGAAGTTCTGATACTGAATATATTATTATTACCTAAGTTTCTGTATGCATTGTTGTCTTTACAAAGAGCTGGTTGTGCATACATTGTCTGGGAAGAGCTGGGTAATGTTGAGAGGGACTCTGCAGCTCAGTGACATGAGTCACTTATAGCCTCTCATATTTTACAGAGGGATTAAGAGAACTCTGGCTAACATGAAAGCATCTGTAAAACTCCAGAACAGCGCTAAGCATTATACTACAAAAATGACGTATGAAAGAGTTTTCCTTTGTGTTTTTACAGATCAAAAAGGAAAGTTCTTGGGAGAAAGGATTCTGGAGACCTTTCTGTAAGAAACAGATTGAGAGCTTCATCTGGGACCAGCAGCCAGCCTCCCACCAGCAGCACACTGCCCACCAGCAACATGCCACCAGCCAGCAACATGGGCACTCTCATTAGTAGTCAGAGGTCCCCCGGGCTCATATACAGGAATGCCAAAAAGTCCAACACATCCAATGAGGAGTTTAAGCTTCTGCTCCTTAAAAAGGGCAGCCGATCTGATTCCAGCTACAGGATGTCTGCCACAGAAATTCTGAAAAGTCCTATTTTGCCGAAGTCTCCTGGAGAGCTGACAGCAGACACCCTTCAAAGCACGGAAGAGTCTCCTCCAACAACGAGCCCTGATGCATTATCGCCGCTCTCCCCCTGTTCCCCCAGGGTCAACACGGAAGGATTCTCCTCCAAGAACTTTCCCATGTCGGCATCCTCGCGGGTGGGGCGGTCACGGGCGCCACCAGCAGCCAGCAGCAGCCGGTACAGTGTGCGCTGCAGGCTCTACAACACCCCCATGCAGGCCATCTCCGAGGGGGAGACCGAGAACTCGGACGGCAGCCCCCACGACGATCGCTCTTCTCAAAGCTCCACATAGGCTGTGTGGGTGCCAGGGCCAGGCTGCCTACACCACTCAAGCTCTTAAGGATGTCAACACAAGAGGCCAATGCTATAGCAATCAAAAAAAAAAAAAAAAAAAGAAGAAGAAAAAGAGAACAATCGCAGGGCAATATCAATGCTCAGAGGTGTTCGTGTTTGGAAGACGCTGGGAAAACAAAAGGACTACAGCTGTAGCTATTTATTGCATTACATTTTCTAAAAGGATGAAGATATGCTATGTCTGTTCTGTTTTCTTTTGGCTTCCTTTGGTTTATCCCACTCTCATATCCATTGTCACTGTAGATTTCAAGGCCATTCACTTTCCATAGAGTTAAAGGTGACTTTGGGTGGGTTTCGTTTCCCAGAAGCTGCCCATCTAGAAACAAATCCCTCACTGTAGTGCTTCCCTAGGGAGAAAACAAAAAACAAACAAACAAAAAAACCACAAAACAACAAAAAAAAACCACCAAAAAAAAGAGAAAATGCTCTTGAGAATTGGTATTTTTCTACATTAAAATGAGCTGAAACAAACTTTAGAAGAAATTAACAAAACATATGTAAATATCATATTTTTGATAAAAATTTGTAAATAGAAATATCAAAAAGTGGACGTGGCAAACGATTTACTGCGTAACAACTTTGTTTATAGAAGACAAACAAATTCAATTGTAATAACTGTATTCTGTGAATACCATTTTCATATCAAACATAAAACATGGCCACCAATAACCACTTTTGGTGTGACAGGCCTGAAGGATGACATTGAGCAGTGGAAAGCAGGAATTTTCCACGTTAGTTAAGGAAATGGAAAGGCTGACTGTGAGGGGATTAAAGAAACCATTTGTCTTTCTAAGGCAGCTCCAAAGAAGCTAACTGGAAAGCACAGCTGGGAGGGTTTCCGTGAGAATTGGTGGGGAAGATGACTGTGTTTCTGGCAGAACAAAGCTGGGTCTGATGCAAAGCCCCAAAGGGTCCCACCCCACAGCCTCCCCTGGGCCTTTATTCTTGCAGGGATTGCTTCAGAGAGGATAAATGTGAGAGGAAACAGTACTTAAACTTCCATATTCCTATTAGGCTATTGGGATACATAACACAGTCATAACCTGGTAACTATAATCTTTAAACACGATTAGTTTCTGGTTCGTAAAGGAAACAAATAAATTACAAGCATGCAAGAAGCGCTTTCGATTTATCAGTAAATATCTGCAATGAGTTTTCAGTGAAGCTTTCTCTTTGTGCTGATGAGATTCATGCTACCTAAATATTTACAAAAATGACACTGTGAAACTGTAGCTGGGAAATAGGTATGTGTACGCATTATTTATATTCTTTACTGAGCTGGGAAGGGGAAAGCTCCAGTTCATTGTGCCAGCCACGTACAGTAGGGATCTTGTCTGGATTTACCAGAAACACAGAACAGGGTGAGGGACTGGGGTGGGGTGGGAAAGGAGACAAATCAAAGTAGCTGCTTTGATACAAATGAAGGCAGGGAGATAAAAGCTGAATTACTTGAAGTTACTTGAATATTCTCACTTTAAAACTGCAAGAACCCGTGAGTTGCTTTATACTTTTAATTTTTAAACAGAATAAAACCAACAATTCTCCTTTGGGCCACCACAATTTCCACTGATGTAGCCCCATCTGTGCTACTTAGAGGACAAGGCCCTCTTTATCCAAAACTGATGCAGTTGGTATTGGTTGCTGTAGGATATGGTTAGGAAAAGAGGAAAGGTTAGTGCAGAGAAAATAGTGAAGGAGGAATGGGGTGTGCAGTAGGACAAGTCAAGTAGGATGACAGAAAGAGTGTTCTTTGGTATAAAGAAATCAGCTAAAAGCTGGCTTTAAGTGTAAGTAAAAGACTGACTGGGAGGTGGGATGTGTGAATTCGGTTTTTGGGGTTTTTTTCTTTTAATCATGCAACGCATAAAGCTGAGAATTATTAAAAGAAGGCACATCATGTTTTAAAGAGGAAGGTTCTATCTAAAACTGTTACAATTGCAAGGAGTCAAAGCAAATCAGAAGAGTTTAACGTATCTGAAACATTATGTCCTGGAAGGTTCACATCTGATTTTGTCTAGTGCTTACCACAAGACATGTATTATTCAGTTTCCTACGGTCCTCCTGTGTAGCCTGGTAGCATTCAGTTGATGAGGTAGAGTCACTGTGCATGTGGTAGGTGTTTTGGGATGAGGGATGGTCCATCAGTTAAAGGGCTGCAAAATTGTCTAAAATAGTTTTTAAGAAGGTAGGGGGAGAAAGATTTTGGAAACAAAAGGCTAATTGTATTAGTAGCTTAGGTAGGAAAATAAGTCTGAATACAAGTGAAACGAATGAATGAGAATGTTTTAAGAGGAAATGTTTAGCATATAACAAACCACCTTCTGGAGAGTATGAGAAAAGCTAGTTTAGATAATGGGCAGAAAATCCTTAATTTGTCATCTTCAGTCATTTTCCACAAAAATTTTACCAGGACCACTTTTACAAAATGTTTTAATAGTCCTGAGTTAAACAGTCATTCAAAACAGTAGAGAGAATACAGCTGAATTGACTTTGATGATACCACTTTTTATTACCAATCAATAATTTCACAGACACCGTAAATAGATAGATATACACTGGGGTTTTTTTTACCAGAATGACGAGGCAATACTTCACATACAAAACAAACACAGAACAATCCCACTGGAGCATAGTCTCCTTTTGCTTGGTTTTCTAATTTATACTTAGCAGATTGAAACCCAAACAGAGAGATTCTAAATTCTCTATGAAGAAAAGAGTTCAGAACAAACGTGGGAGTCAGAGGAAGATGAATGGCGGGAGCCCTGTAGCATTGCAAGTGTGCCATGAAGGCATCCGAGGGCAGGCCACAGAGGGAAGGGAACATCACTCACCTCTGAGACAGGGTACAGTACGTGCATCAGGTAACTACTGAACCGTCATTTCAACCTACTGTTCTGTTGCTTGCACTGATGTTAAAAAAAATGATTTCTTAAGTTATACAGCTGTGTTCTGAAAAATAACATTTTCCCCTTTTCTTCTTTGTTTCTTTTTTTTTTTCCTTTCTCTTTTTGTTGTTGTGGCAGCATAGAGGGCATGGGATAGTTGTAGCAAATAAAGCATATGTTTGCTTTTGCCAAAGGTCAGTGATTGAGTGCATTTGCTGCAATGGTGGCAGATAGAGAAATACTGTAGGTTATGACTTAAAGAATTTTAAAAAAAATTAAGAAGGTTACAGTGTAACTATTTTGGTACTAGCACCAGTTCATGCTGGCAGAAAAGACAATGGTTTATGGACTTGCATCCATTTTGTATTTTTGTAATATTTGTAAATATGAACTTTTTAAATTGTTGCAAATATGGTTTCTTTTGTAAAATGTTTTCAAAGTTTACATTAAATCCAAGCCTTTGTATATTTTAGAGCTGTGCAACACTTTAAGTCTTGTATTTATTTTTAGTAAAAACGGTGACAGTTTCATTGTGAACCCCTCTCGAAAAATGTGTTGGAAAAGTTTGATTACCTAGAAAGTGTGTATAGAAACTGCAAATAAACGTGACTGCAATTAAATCACATATTCTCTTTACTTTCTTGTAATGAGATGTGAAGTCTTATCTACAGACTACAAGTATGCTATTTCCCAAGGTCACCCTCAGCACATTACACATTTCAAACCTATTTAATCCTGCTTTCTCTTCAACTGATTTTGTTTCATCAGTTGAGTAAGGGAAAATGTCTATCCAAAATGTCACTGACTTTAAGTGTCCACCAGTACAACTTTGCCAGAATCTAGTAACTGCTGAATTTGCCCCATGGCTTTTACAGGTAAGAAAAGGCTAAGAGAAAGAAAACTGGGATTAAAAATGGTGGAGAGACCACTACTTTATCTTCAGCTAGAAAAAGAAACAAATTGCAACACTTCTGACTCAAGGCACAGACAATCCAGGGGTTGGATCTTCTCAGATAAAGTAAACCTTGGGCAAAAGGGAAGCCACAGATTATGAACACGAACTTTGAACAGCAAAGATTACTTCATTTTAGAATGGTTCAATTATCAGGAGATTGAGACTTCAGGACATGGAAGCTAAGTGTTTAAACAATAGCCTCTCTCAGGTCTCTTTGAAAATGGAGATTAAAATGTACATCATGAAACTCTGGTTTCAGCTGTCATCTTGTAAGTAGCCTTGAAACACTATACTTGGTGCTTTAAAAACGTATATGGAAAGAAGGCTGAAATATGCAGCTCTGGTGTCATACACTGCATGAAAAAAGAGGAACTGATGGGAATGCTGCTGGGCTATCTGCAGTGATAATTTGCAAGAGTATGAGGACTGCCCCAATGATGTGGTACCCTTAGAGCAGTCTCCAAGTGTGATTCAGTTGGCATTACATTTAACCAAATGGTCACATAGTTAATGATTATGTAGATAATTTCCTGTTGTCTTGTGTGCCTTTCCCATCCCAAAACCACAGGTAAGCAAGATCTGTAAGAAAAGCTTAGCCCATAGGGGCAGACACAAGCTGGTTTTCCTCTGCCCACCGTACATCTGTATTTCTTCATGCTTAGTGAAGAAAAGACTAAATATTAGACTACATAAAATATGCCTTTTTTATTTATGCAAGGTGTCAGGTCCCAAGAGGGCGATCCTGGGCCACCTGGTCTAGGATAGCCACAAAATATTGGATTCTAGAGGGCAGTCACAGACTGCCTACTCAGAGGTACATTTGGGATACTCTTGACCTAAATTATGGTGAAACAATGCCAAACAATCAAGAAGTTTTATTTATGGCAGCAACTATTTACATCTTATGACACCTTAAACAAGTGGCAGCAATGATTTAAACATTTTTGAACAGCACATGGCAACAGTGATTTCTGAACAGCCTGTGGACTGACCTTTTCAGGAGAAGATGAAAGGAAGAAGGAATCCACCATTGTGCATTCCACTGTAGTCTGTTTCAAAATATTCTTACTCTCTTAATCATTTCTCTCTCTCATGGCAGGTACCACCAATCAAATCATAGCACAGCCTAAGTGAAACTTGTTATATACCTGTTTACAATTTCCTTGATCTTTTCAAGGACTATTGTCTTCCATTAGGTTACAGCAAATTTGTGCCCGCAGATTATCCCATTCTTAGACCACCCTGGCAGTAAAATGACTACTGTTGTCATATTGGATAGACTTGGGTTTGGACAAGAAACTGAACCATTGCTTCAGCACTTTTATTATGCTTTCTCCAATAGGCCATTCTGCTGCTTCAGCCTCAACAAGACCTGAAACTATTTCCAGCCTGACCAGCACTTTCTGATTCTTTGAATGAGTTACATAATCTATAAGCCATGTCTCCCATAGAGCCTTGTTAGCTCTCAGATGAATTGAGGGAGGTCATGTAGGGGTGGTGATGAAGGCATGCACCCCACAGCTCACAGTCACTAGCATCCCTCAACTCCCAGGTTCTCTGAAGAGATCTTTTAACTCCTGAGTGGCCACATTTAACACATTTAACTCTTGCAAAGGTTCCCATTTTTCTTCCTCCTCTCCTGCTGTTACCACCACCACTGTGAGTTACTGATTTAATTTTGAAATAATAATACCTCAACATTGTTTAGTTTTATTTCTTGAACTGTATTTATAAATTGTGATTTGTAACTGTGGTTGTAAATCTGGTATTTGATGTTACTGGGGGTTAGGAATCTTTCCTTTTGTTTTCGTTCTCTTAGGGAATTTTCTTCCATTTGCTGCTAAGAAGACCAGTACTTCAGAGAGACAAAGGAATGTAGCCACAAAGGAGGGGATGGAGTGCAGATAGCTGCTACTCTCCTATCTGAGGGTTTTTTCTCTTGGGGAGGGCAGAGTTACTGTGAGATTTTGGGCTTGGGGGAAGGGGCTAGGCACAGCCTCGAGCTCCTGCTCTCTGGACATCAGACTGCAGTTTCTGTGGAGAGAATTCGTCACCACTGTAGGGTTCCATTCCAGCTTTCTTCTACTGTCGGTGGAACTCAGCTGTTGCACTGGGACCTTATTAACACCCTACCTCACTAGAAAGGACCTTCACCATCTACTCAGATGCCTCAGGGGAAAACCCAGTACCCCGAGCCCTGAGCCCCTCCAAGGGAGCCTCTCCCAGCCATGCTCAGGAGCCAGTCTGCTGCTGCCCAACCCCACCATTTCTCTATCACTGCTCTGGGTTTTTCGCTACACTGTAACCCCTCACCCCCTGCCTGCCAGGACACCCTATGGCTCCTGCTACAGCTGCGGAGTTCCTGATACATTTTATTTACTACTCCGGATCTGCTCATCTCTGCCATTCCAGCTTGCTGCTTCCGAGATTCCTGCTACAGCTCATTTTGCTATCCAAAAGCGCACTGGGATCAGCTGCCCCCAGGGGTTTTTAAAGGAAGCCCCTTTTCCATCCTCTCCACCGGCTGCACCCGCCATTACCGTGTGGGGAGAGGCGGCCGAGCTCACGCCGCAGCGCCCCCTGCAGGCGCGGGGGAACATCGCACCCACCCTGCCCGGCCGGGAGCCCGCAGCGCCCCTGCTGGCTGTGCCCGGAACTGCACCCAGGGGACAGCGCCTGCGGCCCAGAGAAGGCTGTCACTGCGTTTGTGGCTCTGTTTGTGGCTGCTGCAGGTGTGGCTGTTTGTTTGCCTTATTATACACACACGTAATAGTAAAAAACTATTACTCCTTTTCCCATATTTTTGCCTGGAAACCCCTTAATTTCAAAGTTACAGTAATTCAGAGGGAAGGGAGTCATATTCTCCATTCTAACGGAGGCTTCCACCTTCCTTGGCTGACACCCATTGTTCAAAACAAGAGAGGTATCAAACAGAAAATCAGCAGGACACATGCAACAGGGACTTTGCACAGGCAGCAAGTCCTCATGAAGCAGGGGGGGGGATTGCTGACGACTCTCTCTGAGCAAGCACCCCTGTCCTGGTTTAGGGCAAATTTGGGAGATAACTTCCAAAGGCCCCCCCCCCCGCCCCCCCAGAAGCAAACCTGAATGGCCCCTCCCCTAGCTGGTTTGGGAAAGAAATTTCCTCAGAGAGAAGTGGAAAAAACCTGTTTATTCAACTGCCCAGCACAAAAAAAAAAACAACAACAACAACAACAAAAAAAACAATACCGAACAACAAAACCTCTCACTGCTCTGAAGAGATGACAAATTCAGAAAGTCTCTCTCCTATGGGTGGTAGCTCGGCCCAGTCTGGTGTCAGTCCCTCCAGTGCTGGAAAATGCCACTGCCCAGGCCAGGCCCCAGTGGGCTGCAGGTGCAAGCTCCTGGTGCTCCCCCAGGTCCCCAGTCCAGAGCAGGTTCAAATAATTCCAGGAAAAAAGGGAAAAAAAACTTTCCAGGGAACTTCTCTGCTTCAGTTAGTCAGAAACTAACAAAAAAGCAAAGGAGAGCTCTCTCTGCTGTCCACCACAGTGACACAGTCCAGGAGGACAAGACGATGGAACTCCTGTCTCTGTGTTTTGAAAACAACCACCTCAGACATTCCACCGCTTCTCCTCCTGCCTCCTTCACTCTCAAATCCAGCCTTAAAGGTACAAAACTTATTTCCGGGCTAAACAGACAAATGGGGATACAATTCAACATGACAAAGTCACTCCAGGACAACCCCCTTTAGGAAATAGAGAAGGGTCCTATTTCTGGGGACATTTTCCGGCACCTCCACTACTAGACTCTAAACTATTCCCCCTACAGGGCGGCAGCCCTTGCTCCTGGGAGAAGACTCTCCTGACTATCCAGTAAACTTTCTCAGGTGATCAGACCATGGGAGGAGCTATGCAGTATAGAAACAATTACAGAGTGTGCAACACAAACCTGCCAGAGCCTGCTGAATCCAGTACCTGCTTGCTCCAGTCTAGCTGAGCCCTGCCACCTACCAACTGTGCATATGACTGCCTCTGAGCCTTGCACCTAACCTTGCTCCTGGCTTTAGCCCTTGCCCTCTCTTGCCCACTCTTCGCTGATCCTTCTCACCCAGCCTTAGCTCCTGCTGCACCTGTCCACAGGCCTGCTCTCCTATACAGCTCTCACAGCTGTCTGCCCACAATCCTGCTGCAGCCTAACGTAATTCTACCATGATCCTACCCACTGCTCTACCACCCTCTCCTGCCTGAGGGTTGATCCACTAAGCATCCCACTGCTTGCTGACATGGGAGACATGCTGCCTGCAGACTATGGAAGTTGCATCTCCCCTCCCAAGAGCTGCGCAGACTCCCCTGGCTTGCAGTACACATGATATCTATGGTACATTGCAAAGTCTTGCTGGTAAACACCCTGTCTCTCTCTCTCTGTCTTTTCTTTCCTTTGTTTCGTTGATCTTTCACAGATCTTGTAGTAGGCACCATTTGTTCTTACTTTGCTTTTGGATGACAAAAACTGGGGTGTTCCACAGACTGGCAGCTGGTACAATAATAGGTCCCTTTTGAAGTTGTTCCTGCACTAGAGACTTGAGTACAACAAGTTTTTCCTTGGAAAGGGGCCATTGGCCTACCCATACGGGTTCATCTGTTTTCCAAGTTAGTTTTAGGGTGTCACATTTCTCAATGGCCACAACTAAAAATCT